GTGCTTTAACCTTGGTTTTTCCCATCGTCCATGGTTTTGTATCATTTGAGGCTTCATTATTTTTCTTCTTGTGCTGAGCTTGATTTTGTTTGATTGCTTGATCTCCTCTTCTAACATTTTGTTAGCTTTATCCCTTCACTTTGGTTGTTCATTCTATTTTTTTTTTGTGTGTCTTCGTCTGACGTATCCCCTTCGTTTGCTCAGCCTTTATCCAAGGCTTAGCTCATATCTCTTGATTCTGGTATGGATATACATTCTTTATTCTTCAGTTTACTTGTACTTATATCTGAAACACTAACACACTTGTTAGTAATAACAATATGTATTATATTTGTCTCATTCAAAACTTTGCTAGGAATTGTTTTCGTCTTCGTCTGACTTAACAGTTGGGAAATCCATGTCAAGGGCTTTTGTGGGTTGTTAAAAGATATCTCACATGAGTACGCATCATCTTTTGTGTTTTATAGTAGAGACCTATTTGAGTGGTAGATAGGCAGGTTGTACAATATTGAGATGCAGTTTTGATGGTCATTTCATGCAAGATGCTAGAGGTCAATCTAGGAGAATTTGGTGCATGTGCAACTTGAAATTCTAGAATATTTTCATCTTACAACATTTTCCTTTATATGTTCATATATGAGTATCATGGAGAAAAAGGTCGTCATGGTTGTTAACGATTGTTTATGGCAGTCCACAAATTATCCAACAATGAGAACTTTAGGATTCTCTTAATGAGTTAGCCTTGGGGATAAGGGTGTGCATGGTTTGGTTTTTTAAAAAAACCGCACCGAACTGCACCACACCATTTTAATAAAATGAACTGGTTTATAAATTATGTGAACTACTTTAATAAATCATTTTAAAATTGAATTACTTTAATAAACAAGTTTATAACCAGTTTAAAACCAGTTTCATAACCAAACCAATTTTTTAACCGATTTTAAGAAATAAATCAGTTTTAAATTGGTTTTAATAAAGTTAACTTCATCAATTTTCTTGGGGCTGACAATAGTGTATATATCCACATACATTCAAGCATTATGCACTTACAGTCCAACACTACAACTACTTCTTCCTCACAACTATAATTTTGACAACTAAAATATTAATATTTATGAATGGGGCCAATCTAAATAGTGAATTCTTCAAAACAAACCACTCAATAAAAGATATAACACTTTCAACCTTGCATATATTGGTAACATCACATTATTCTCAAATGAAATGTCCTTGTCTCACTAAAAATTATCATTCCACTGACACAATGCAGAGCAAAACAAAACAAAACCTTATTCTAGGTGATCCAATATCATTCACAACCACCGTCAACCGCAGCATCCAAAATACTGGAATTGATAGTGTATCCAGATTGATGGAGTCCCTTGAAACTAGTGAAAATAATATAGTTATGGGTACTTCTTTATAGAATCATATGGAGGGTCGTGACATGGGAGGGGTAAGCTACCAGAACAATGTTGAAGCTACTGTCTATCCTCAACACCTCTCCAACTGTCAAAACTGATTCTTTCTATATTACAATGTCTTCTAAATTTATTCCCTCTTCCTTGTCCTATCTAATATGCCCACTTTCCATATTCTCTGTTCAATATTCAGCTAATACAACAAAGTTGGAGTCTTGATCTCCTTCAAGTTGTCAAAAGTTGATTGAGCTTCTACATTCCACTGGAATTTGTCATTTTTTAATAACAATGCACAATAAATCGACAATAGTATCTTGTAAGACCTAAGAATATTCAGAACCTTCTTAACCAAATAACTATTACTTCCATCTTTTTAGGATCTGTAAAAACTCCTTTTTGTTGAGATCTTTAGATGATGTGTACTCAACACTTTTAACTCCTTGTAGCCAAAACTACATGTCCTCTTCTTGGCTACCAACTTTGCCACTCTGCCTCATTTATACTAATATATTAGGATATAATTAAGAAAAAACCAGAACAAATTTGCATAGGAAAGGGCTTAAGTACCTCATTAATTCAAAACTTGGAAGGAGCATTTGTAAAAGAAAAAAGTATCCCCGACACACAAATTTGAGTTTGGTAAGAGGCTCAACAAATGGTTTTATGTCAATACACATCCTCACATGCAAAAGCTCTACAGATTGCTACAAATAATGTTCAAACCATTTTTTGGTAATGTAGAAGGTGCAAGCCTGTGGTTAAGGTAGAGGTTATGTGGTCGTGATGGAAGAGGTTAGTTGTTCCCAACATGTTGCATGTCAATTATTTTCCTTTACTACGTAGTTTGTGGTTGAAACCCCAAAACTTCACTGCTCTTTGCAAAGTCCTTCTTAGTTATGAAGCATAACGTTGCCTTATCATGTTGCAATTTGCGATTTGTTTGAATTAGATTAAAATAGTGACGATACTAAACCTTTTTTTTAATTATAAAAATATTGATATAAAATATTTATCAACTTTATTAATAATTAATTTTTATTAAAAAATTTAATTGATCATCTTTAATAAAATTATTCTATTTTAGTAATATATTTTTTCATGTACAAAATTCAAGTCAAAAATCTTATTTATAAAGATTAAGTCCAATTATTCAAACGAACTTAATTATTAATAAAATATCAACCCGATTGTTACTAAGTTTTAAACACTAAAGAAGATTGATTTCAAGTATAAACTTTAATGGTATCATTGCAAGTTTGGTGATCACTTCCTTAAACTGTTCGATAATTTGATGGTTAAAACATGTGGTCAAATCAGTATGTTCCTCCACCATCCTTGTAAAATTTGTTGCACATTTTTTTTTAACATATGATATTAAGAAAATGCTATGCTATTGAAAATATCTAAAGACTTACCATTAAAAGACTAGAAGATAAAAATAACACTAAAATATTTTCTTATTCTTGAATGATAACTTCTAAACACTTATATAATCTTAATAGATGTGAATCATCGATAATATTTATTTATGGATTAATTAACATCATATTATTTTAAGAGAATACAAATAAATATTTAACTCCAATCGATATAATTTTTCAAATATTTTAATCTTAGGGTATTTTTGACCTTTTTAAATCCATCTTAATAACAATTTATAACTTCCTACTAATCAATCTATTTTAATAATAAAATGTACCTCAAACTTTGACTTCATGCTCAAACCAAAGTTGAAATTAAACTTTTGGCAGCAACTTTTGTTGGAAAAAATATTATGTACCTCATATAATTTATGTTTGGTTTTATTATCATATTAATTTAATTAATTATTTAATTATAAGGAACTATTACAGAATAATAATCAATTATTAAGAGTTATAATTTATGTTTTTTAGTTCTTAATGTAAAAATTAATGGAGGGTTATTATGATAATAAAGTAAAGGATATTCTATTGTCTAATAGATTCAAGGAATAACAAAGAATGGAAGAATGATCTTAATTTCTCTAAATATCTAAATATTATTACATATTTAATAATTTGATAACAATAACTACAAGTAGTATGTTTAACTATTATAAGTTATACATTAAGGTTTTATTTTAATTTTTTTACAACTTTTAGGTGAGGATCAAATTTTATTATTTGTTTAGGAGTTTTCTTGAATATAAATTTGACAGAGTTTATCTATCATGAAACTCTTTTCAAAGAATCTCTTTTAAATTTGTATCCAAACAAACTCTAAAAAACACAAATATTAAATCACTTATGCTAAGAATTTTAAGTAATAACATCATCATGTATAAAAGAAGAAGAAAAAATATAGGTATATATCATTTTCTATGTATATGCAAGCATATGTCATTTTTCTTTTAATGAAAACGAAAAGTTTTACAAATTTCAACTCTCGTTGATTATTATATTCTTTCTACTTATATCTATTTTAATAATCATCTCTACAACTATTATTAAATTAGGATGTTTTAGAATAAATACATTAATTTATATATAGTATTAAATATTTTTTAAGATATTATCTATATTATCGATTATTATATAAAGGAGATATTTCTTATTATAATTATTCTTATTTTTATTTTTATTTTTATATAGACAATTTTTTCCTTCTTTTTTTTTTTTGCAATTTCTTAAAACACCTTGTGCCTTTTTTCCTTGGTACTAGGAACTTGCGAAACGGGTTGCTGACACTCTAGAGAGAAAACAATTGATTTTGTTTTAAGTTGAACAAATGAAAAATACTATTCGAGACCAAGTGTGTGTTTATTTCTCTGTTTGCAGCAGACAAATATAAATTGATTTTAATCCATCAAAACTCATACTTTTCAATTTCGGTACTTTGAAATGCATGTTAACGGATATACAAGCACACTACAAGACTAGTCTGTTGGTAGTGAAAATTTGAAAATCATTGTTTTAATCTTCGATGCTCATTTTATGACGCATTAATAACATTTATTTTAGGACTTTGAAATGTTTTTAGAAATCGACATAACACTGCATACGCATAGGGGTGAAAACAGAGCAAGTTAGATCATCCCTCATGAAACAGGAAAAATTAATAAATAAATATATAGATATAGATATAGTGGACAGGTAGCTTAGAAACCCATAGAACGTTTTTCATACTCTGAATTTATTAAAAACAAAGGATATCATTCAGCTTATATTTTTTAACAAAATCTTCAAATTAATAACTTTTGTTAATAATAGAAACTTAGATTCTAGAAATGAAGCTCTAATCAAAATCAACGTTTGCATCACCAAAGGAGAATTGGATCACAATACGTTACAACTATTATTTGACCAAACAATTTTCAAAACAATTAGTATACACTTTTCAAAAGTAAAAAAGTATACACTGATTCCAGATTTAAAAGGGAGAAAGACAGCTCATCCAAACCCTTTGTATATATATTCATCTCTTTCAACCACATTTTTACTTTCTACCACTATTAATTTTAGGGGTTAGCTAGAAGCAAATTTTAATTATAAATTAGTACATCAATTTATCACTCCATAACCTAATATAAACAAATGCAATTTCCATACTTATATGATGGAAGCAAGATGACATTTCTTTCATATATATAGGGGAAGATTTGTATAGAGATGATAGACAAGTCCAACACAACTCCTTCATGGATCATGGTCAACACATGCATCTTCTTCGTTACGTCCCAATCATATGCTTAACTTGAAGCCAAAGGAACCCATCCAAAATATTAAAAAGATTAGATTCAATGATTTTAACCTTGTCTACGTAAAAGAACTTGGTTATTTCTGAGAGAGAATGTTTATTGTCTATACACTTTTGAATTTGTAGCAATAAGAACTTAGGCTAAGAAACTTTAAGAGAAAACAACAGAAATTAATCAAGAAACTCACTAATATATATATATTACTTAACCTTTGCTTCTTTTTCATCGTCTTTGAGAATTGATTTGATCATAGAAACATCGATTCTTGCTGATTCCTGCTTCACCCATTGGACAACCCTCTCGGCTTCCATGCTTACCCTCTCTTCCTCTTCCAACGCTTTCTTCAGCCTCTTCTCTTGTTCTTTCACCGAAAAGGTGCTCATGTCAGAGAGTATTTCATCCTTCTTTCCCCATTCAACGTGCTCTGAACTCAACACTTCTCTGCTTTTACCGTTTCTTGGAACGCTCTTCTTGGTGGTGGTGGAGAAGCAAAAGCAACATGCTGATCCTCCTGTGTACTCTGGCTCCATATCGGACAATTTTGGAGCATGATAAAACCAACCCTGCTATTTATTGAATGAACTTTGATGACCCAATTTGATACCTCTTGCTCTAAGCTAAGTTGAAAAGTGAAAAATGTGATAATGTGAAGTTGTTGAGATGATGTGTTATAGGATGAATATGGAGATTATTCTAGTAAGTGGGGTATTGTTTCTTGTCAGCATGTATGTTATATGTAATGTGTAACATGTTTAGCTTCAATGTTGGGACCCAGTTTAAGCAAATAATAGGGTTGAAATTTGTGATGATTGTTTGGCTGGTGAAGAGTTTACGTCAAACCTCATTTATACAATGTGGGGTGGCTAGTTGAATTTTCATCCTATGCTATGCTATGCTAAAGGAGATCTATGTATATAATATGGAAATAAATTACATTCCTCCCAAGGAACTAATTATGACAGTTATTTTTTTTATCAAATCAATTTTAATTCTGAATCCTTTATTTCTCATCTCTATATATATTATTAGTCAAAATTATAATAACAACCATAAATTATCTGCAAAGTATAGGAGTGAGTGCATGCCAAAAAAAAATTATCCATCAAATAAGACGATTTACAAGAAATTTCAGAAAATAAAAAACATCATTTATTTATTATTTATTTTCTTCATCTTTTTGATAAAATATTTAACATAATGAATTAAGTAATTATTATAATAATATATAATCAATTGAGATAATTAATTATGAATAAAAATATTTGAATATGTTGATTTTATATTATTATAATTGAGCACCTTAAAAAATTATAAATAATATTATATACGTTTTTATTAATAACATATTTAATTTTATTTTTTATTTTCAAAATATTATTTAAAATTTCATACTATACAATTATAATATTTACTTTATTTCTCTTATTTTTCTTCCCATCATTTGTCACTTGTTTCTTTTAAATTACTTCAAATCATTCCTTTCCTTCGAATAAAACATTTACCTACGTTTGAAATTGATGAAAATCAGAGAAAAAAATAGAAAAAAAGAATTAAAATAAAACATGATGTATTTTCTTTTATTTAGTTAGAGAAAAAATTTAAAAAAAATATGATTTTTAGAGATAAAAAATCAAATTTTATTTTCGTTTAAATTTTTCTCTATTTTTATTTATTTTTACTTTTCTCATTTCCTTCCACTTACATGGTAAGACTGAGTTGTCACAGTGAGCCTTTCCACCCCCAGTTCCAGTTTCCCCTGTGCCAGTGTCCAGTTTCACCAAAAACCTCAAAATAATAATAATAATAATAATAATAATAATAATAATAATAAACAATAAATAAATAAATAAAAAGCAATCTTCTTGCTTGTCCCTATCTCCGTGAAGCAGTGGGTCCCTAAAAATGCGCGCGTGGACCCCACATTCCGAAACGGCCCAGTTAGCCGTTGTAGAACTGAACCCCTCACGCTTTCGTTGCTCTTCCTTTTCACACTCCTCAAAAACACACACACACACACTCCACTCCCAACAACAACAACAACAATGGTCGGATTCTACGACCTCTCCGACACCGACGACTCCGCCGTCGAAGAAATCATCTCACAGGCCCAAGACGCCTGCGTTTTGGACCAAATCGCCGCCATCAACTGTTCCGGCATCACCGACACCGTCCTCCCCACCCACCTCGAAACCCGTTTCCGCAACCTCAAATCCTTCCCACCCACCAAACCCAAACCCAAACCCAAACCAAACTCCCAAGCTCCCACCTTTTCCACCCTAAACCACCAAACTCCCAATTTTTCTTCTGATCAGGCCTCTCCCAACGTTCCCGGAGAAAAACCTAAACATGGGTCTCTTTATTCTGCTTCTTCCCCTTCCTCCGACGATAGCTCCATGTCTTGGGTTTTCAGGCCGTCGCAAAAGCACGGTTCCAAAGAGAACTCTGTGACTTCTCGCTCCCTCTCGCCTCCTCCTCGGAAGGGTTGTTTGTGGTTTTCTCCGAAGAAGAAGGAGAAGAAGAAAAGCAAGGAGAATTGGGGTGACGAGTTTTTGTCGGAATTGGGAAGCTTCTCGTCCTCGAAGAAGGAGCAGCAGAAGATGTTGAAGAAGGCTATGAAGGAGGAAGAGAAGGTAAGCCGAGAGGCTGAGAAGATTGTTCAGTGGGCTAAGCAAGCATCTGCAAGGATGAATGTTTCTCACATTGATGGTGAACTTAGTGATGGATGAATAGGCCAATAGGCTACACTACAAACACTTAATTTTGGGTTTTCTCTCTCTTCTATATCAGAGAAGAAGAAAATTGGGTGTTATAAGGTGTTCCAACTATATTGTCTTGTTTCTTTTGGGGGATTAATGGGACTGTCAATTTGTCTTGTTTCATTTTGTGTCTTTACGTCCATACAAATTTTTTACATATTTTGGGGAGTTTATACAATGGAGAATGAAATATTTTGTCTGATCTAATGATCTCTTTCTTGTTTTTGGTAATACTTAAATGCAAATTACTTTTTTGGAACTTTACAATACCTAGACTTGTAATTTATTGCAGACTAAAAATCTCAGTTCAATTTGGTAATTGTTTTGAATTTTGTCTCATGTGTCAAGGTTATACATTACTAATGGCTAGCATAATTTTTTCTTGGGGCTGTTAAAATATATTTTCGTTTTCACCTGCACATTATATTACTTATATGCACCATGCTGAGTCTCCTTGTTTATCTTTATCAATTTCTTTGTCACACTGAGAATTTTTTTTCTGAAATAATATTTTTTTAAAAAAAATTACCAAAGGAACATATACTACACATTATTTACCCAAATAGACCTCTTTACTGTTCACACTCAAAATTCAGTTTCTAGAAAACCAAATTCTAAGCAGTGTTATTTTTTTTTTTAGTTTCTAAGGAAGAGGAAAACTAGATTCAGAACGGGCCGTTATACAATCAGAACGGCCCGTTCCAGATGAAAAACATACACATGATGAATGGATCAGAATGGGCCGTTTTCCAAGGAATGCAAGCAGAACGGGCACTCCTGAGCCCAAAACAAAAAAAATAAAAATTTAAACACTACTTTGACTTTCCGGGAATCGAATTCTGAGCAAAAATAAATAAATAAATAACACTGTTCAGAATTTGGTTCCCAGAAAATCGAATTCTGCATGTGAACAGTAAATAAGTCTATTTTGGAAAATAATGTGTAATAGATGTTTTTAAAAAAATATTATTTAAGAAAAAATTTCGTCACATTGAATAACCTATTATATTTATATTTTTCTACTTTTTATCTCTATCTTATTTTGGGTTTCTAGCAATATGTACAACCATGCATTTCTCTCTCAAAAAAAGTGTTTATGCATCATTTTTCTTCTAAGCTAATGCATTATTTAATTTATGCATATGAATTTAACCTGTGTTTGCTTTCACGTTTCAAACGTGAAAAATTACTTTTAACATAAAACTACACGTTGTAACTTTTACGTTAAACGTAATTTTTCACGTTTGAAACGTGAAAGCAAACACGCACTTAATATATATGTATTGCTAACCGAGTTTTCACAAAATGTTATATATGTAAGTTTCCTTTTTTTTTTTTTACACCAAATATATGTTTCTTAAATTTTATAATAATAAAAACTTTCTTAAATTTTATAATAATCATGTAAAATAATTATTTTAAAAGTTGTACTTATTGAAAGTGTGAAAATTACACCCGACTCGTTTTTTAGGTAGTTCCTATGAAAAATGTTCTAGATGGACTTTATATGCACAAGCACAAGTACAATCGCTTTAAATGCTGTTCTTACATAGACATTAAAAATGATTGTCGCATATAAAAATAAAAAAATATATGAAAATTACTATATCATCCTAAAACAAAACGAAATAGTATCCGAAATTTTAAAATATTAATATTTTTTAATAAATTTATTATTAAATAATTATTTAATTTAATATTTTATAATTTAAATTAATTTTTTAAAGATTAAAAATCTGAGGATGTAGAATTTTTCAAAATATAGTTCTGGACTTCTGGTCCTTTCATAACACTTCACTTTATTTTATTTATTTTACATTCTTTAATCTCATCTTGAACATGTGATTGCAAGTAATTGATTCCATTTTTTAATGAGGAAGTTATTGAACATATGTGGTCGATTAACTAAGGAAAATCATCTTAGTTAAGATAATTAAAAAGGAAACTAATGTATGATATATATCAGGCTTCCTTTCTCAAATGGACCTGTTTGAATGGGAGAGCATGAGCCTATTTTTCCGAGGATTCTTGGAATATAAAACGAAAATATTTAACGGTCTTTCCTATTATGTAAATGGTGTAGCTTGGAGGGATTGTCACATGAAACCCATCAGGAAAAATATTAAATTTGGAATTTAGTATAATTCATTTTGAACTGAGTAATATAATTAAGAAGTGTGTTCAAATATATGTTACGGCATTATAAATTGATTTTGGTAGATTACAAAATTGGCACTTTAATAAATATCAGATAAATCTCAAAAGGAAACTGTGTTTATAAGCTGACTCTAATCTTCACCTATCTGTCTCACATAAGGTCTTAAACAAGCTGGAAAGTTCATACTTCTTTTTCCTCTTTGTTTGGCACACATTTGCAGATACATTGCATGCATGTGAAAAACAGCGGGGAGAAAGGAAGCTATGTTTTTAAGCTGATTCCTTCAAGCATTTGTGTGTGATCTTAAAACAAACAAGAAAGTTTAAAATGTTTTCTTACTGATTTGGCACAAAAGTTCGCAGGTGTTGCATGCATGTGAGATACATACAGGGGGAGAATCTGATATACATTTACAGAAAGAAAATCTTTATAAGCTGACTCTGCATGTGATTATGTCTGTATGATCTTAAACAAGCAAGAAAGTTCATACTTGTTTTCACCTCATTTGGTACACAACTATGCATTTACATTTCATGAATGTGAAGGACAGAGGCGAGCATCTGATATATATTTTTTTAGCAGGATAAAAGTTATAGAATTGTATAATCCTTCATCTGATATATATGTTTATCAAGGAAAGTTGTTGTGATAGGTATTTGGGCGGTGGAATCCAGTTTATTTTAATCTATGATACACCGTGTCCTGTTTGAAACTTCATTTAGTTTTTAGATAATCCATTAACAACATTTAAGTCCCTGGGACCCAGTAACAAAGGCCATAATTTATTTCTGCCAGACTAGAAAGACATACAACAAGAAAATAAAGATAGAAATTACTTTTTCCATATTGATACATCTTTCTGAATACAATGTTTCTCCCATTGTCTTCATTTAGAAATTACAGTCCATCCTATAGAATATGGACAATAGAAAATTAATATTTAACCACCTTACTAAGCTTTTCATCTTGAAAACTAAGTTCCTTAGAATGACCTAACGGCCTAAGCAAATGCCAATCATATATCAATCTACATATTCAAACCGCTATTTCCTATTGCAATTATGTTCACAGAATCACATATACAACATACTGCACAGATGATAGAACCACCCAAAAATAATAGGAAGAACATGCTATGGCTTTCGAAATGCACCTATTCCGTGATAATAATATACAATTTTTGCCTCACCTAATCAAAAGGGCAATCTTGGTACGTGACATTATTCTGTTATCTTGCTGGCTGGTATCAAGTCTTGTCTCTGTACATAAGCAGAGGGAAACCATCCAGCATTGCCTTTGCATTCTCCTTCAGACCATCCATTAGGACCAATCTGGAAATGAAGCAACCATAAGGACAATACAAATACAGCTCATATCAGTTAGTCTGATATTGCGGCAATAAAGATTATAACCTAAATGTCCAAAAAAAAAAAAAATAGATGGTGACATTCTTGTAAATACTAAATCAATAGCTGCACTAGTAGGTTATAATGTAAGGGCTGCCCAAGTTTTGTATGGACTACATTGGCCATATTTCTAACCAATGTATAATTTCTACAGTAAGAAAATGAACAACACACTTCAGCACTATAATATGTTCAGGGGTTAAAATGCCCAAAATTTGCATGTTATCAAGATAATGATTCAGTGCTGAAAGATCTCAATATTTGAATTATCTGGTTCATATGTTTAAGCAACAGACAATGGTATTAGAGCAGATGAAGGTTTGAAAATCAAATGAAAAAAATTATTTATTTTCAGTCATTTTATTTTGGGACAAAATTTTTATACAAGTAGATTTTGATTTAATTTGAATTACATCTCTATTTTTCCCCTCTGCTTCTGCTGCCTTACGACTCCAACCAATAACCCATAATTATAAACACCAAAAAGTCCAACTTTAGTTCTTTGCACAAGCCAACTTAAGCTTTTAAAAAGTTGGTTTATCTGGAGTACAAGTTATGATGGATCATAAATAGCTATACAGTCCCTTAAGGAAATACCTGACGAACTACAACAAAATCATCAACAGATAGACTTAACTCCCCCTCAGCTTGAGCATCAAATGGATGTACGACCTACAAGGCAAATGATGATGAACATGAATCAGTTTAGGAGATTAATGTAAACAGAATATTGCTTATTTCTAACAAATTTTGTATTATATCATATGACAAGACTATTTTTTTGCACAATGTTTTATACATGTATGTATATGAATGGAAAGATCTTGTAAAATTCATTATTTTATACATCTCGTTTTCTGTAGTCCCTTCATCATAAAGTATATGACAATTTGATAATGAAAAGAGTTAGCTGGAGTGAGAAGCCATATATTTTATGGGTTAAAATAATTGCATAAATATAATATAGCAGATATCCATAAATTAAAATATGCTGATACAAGAAAAATCAACATTAGCAATAGCAAGTGATAGTAATAAGATCTAGATGAGATATCGGTTGCAACAAAAGCAAAGCTAAATATCTGTATAGGCTTACCTTTGCAAAAAAGTATGTGGCTGTTGGACTGTTGTGTTTATATTCAAAGCCATTTGAATTAGCATTCTCATCCGCAGGTTGATTAAGTCCATCTCTTGGCAGTGGAAATGATGTAGCCTCTTTTGGTTGTCTCTCATCAATTATCTAACTCAAACAACATCCAAGTTATCAATTTGATCAGCACCCAAAAAAATGGTCAGAATATTATGCCAGAAGCTAACATGCAGAATGGACACAGGAACTAGTAATTATTCTTCCAATTTGAAGGAATTATCAGGCTATATGGTGACTGACCTCAGCATATAGTTTCTCAAGAATAACTAGGACATGCTGATGATAGGCTCTCTCAGCATCCACCTGCCAAAAAAGGGGAACAAATGAGTAAAAAAAGGTTTAGGGAAGGAGGATTTACTCAGGGCTCAAGAACCATACAAAATATAACTAGAAAAAAATGCAACCATTGTACTCAATCAAGCAAACATAAGTTACTGTCATTTATTTAGATTCTCTTAAAATTTTGAACCATGGCTACAGAAAATTGA